GTTTGATCAAAATAATGTACCTATAATACTTGAATACTGTAATTAATGTAATATAAAATTATGTTCGTGTTTGTATGGGTCGCTAGTTATGTAATAAATTTTTTAACTTCAGATTGTGGTGTTTTAGACATTATCCCTTTGAAACAATCCATCTAGTATATAATTTATAGCTATATGTATAGGTAGGTAGCTCACAAAGGCGCTGGCACCATCTAGTGGACAGGGCGGGTAAACAGTAATAGTTGTTTTGTCAAGTGTCTCATCTATTTCAGTATGTATGTCTTATCTATGCACTTAACACATTGCTATTCATTTTTATATAATATAGAGATGATAAATGGATAGAGATGATAAGCGCCATCTTGTTTCTAACTTTGGATTTGCCATGTTTTATCAATGACCTTTTGTCTAATACGATAATAACGAAAATGTCATGGCGTCTTCGTTTGTTTCTATACGTTGTAACGCACTCGAAATAGATGGCGGTAATTTATTACCAGCATCCAGCATTTACCGCGGCGTAGGCAACTATGTACATTAAGTACCTATATTAATATGTGAAGAAACAACTTTGTACCCCTTTTTACGAAAATTGCACCGATGGAGGAGTATGAAACTTTCCACACTTATAGTTTGAGGAGTGCAGAATGTTAATATTTTTTTTTTGCATAAAAATGCATTTAATTGATATTGAAAACATTACACACGCTACCGTCAAATTGGACACACACGAAAATTGTTTATTGTGTGTTTTTGGAGAATAGATTAATATTGTTCAAACTTATAATTTAAATCAATTATGGTCGAATTTTGACCACCCGGCGTCCACTCGTAGTATTTAATTGTTTAAATATATTAAAAATAATACTTTAATTTTAGCTGAAATAAAAATGAATAGGCTCTACATACGCGTAGGATTTCCTCGAGACAGATATTACTTCACTGTGATAAAGGTTGGATAGTTACTCTTAGATTGTCAGCATTTTGCTTTTTGCTGTTGATTGTAAGCAAACAAATTAAATTTTATCGTGTGTTTTGACTTGCGTTTGAGTTAGAATCATTTCGAAAATTTCACATTGTGCTGTGAAATGGCCTTTGTTTACTTACGGCTAAGTTCACCGTACCAAAGTTCGGTACATATTATCGCCGTTTTTGTTGATGATAATATTTTGAAATTTTTATTAATAGAATACGTATATTGTAATTACTCTGGTAATACATGTTATGTAAATAGTTATATTTTTATTTATTAGATACCTTGATATCTACATAATTCATACGTGATTTTAATACGTAGAGTATACTTGTTATGGTATAATATAATGTATATATAATATATGGTACATATAATGGTGGTTTGTATTGTTTGGGCAAATTAAAATTAATTGAAAGAAATGATGTGAAATGATATCGTTTCGGTTTTTAGACCAATGTTTTAATTTTTTTTATAATTTTTATGCATTTCTTTAAAATGATTATTTTCAATGAAATAAATTTTAATTATTTCGCGTAAGATCACATCAATCAATAAAGTGCTATAATGTTTTCTACATACAGCTTATATATAGTTCTACAAAAATAATACTGTTGATCTTGTTTTGATTTAAGATAATTATTGAGAGGTTTTAGATAATTCCTATAGAGTTAGCTGATTTAACTAATGTGACTAAATAGTCAAACACTTTTCAAAAACACAAAATTTTAAATAGTCGTTTTTACAGTTAATAAGGTAACTTGTAATTATATTAGTACTGAGATTGCATTATTATCTTTATTATTTCGTTATTATCGTTTTACGTTTTGGTGTACGGGATTATATATAAATATACCTATGCAATGAAATGAAAATATCTATTTCGAACTTTTAAATAATCTATATACCTTTTATTCCTTTTTATCGAGTTCGTTTTTATAAAGTTTTGCAACATCAAACCTATTTCGACTTATAGGTAATTTGATTAAGTTGTCTGTTGCGTACAAACAATACCAGTTACTTAGCTTTAGTAAATTTTAACTGATGGCAGTATATTGCCACTGCTCAATGTATAAAATAAAATTCCAACATATGAATGTTAGCACACATACTTTGATCCAATCGTCTTGCAAAGTGTCATTCACATACTTAGGTTTAAAACGTAGGTGAAACAAATATAAACAAGGATTCTTCAAGTTTTCAACAATGTGTATTTTTGCACCTTAGGTGATTTCGTATTAAATAGAAATTTTCTTTTACCCTCTTATATACACATTAATTTCGAATTTAGTTCCGAGTGTATTTACAAATATATTAAATAAGAATTTAGTAAAAATTAGTGAGATTTTAACAATACCTATCTTAAAGCTAACTATGTTTAGAACATTAACAACATCGTTCACTCGGGTGAAATGCACGCGACAGTTAGAAACAATGACCATATAGAAATTCGTACTCGCTCACTATCAGGTGAACACGTGAATTGGGTACATACAATTAGATTTTTTTTAAAGTCCACTACCGATCTTAATTCAACTTGTAATGTACCAATAATGCGCACCACCGCGAAACAGAGTAGTAACGTAACAGAGGTCTCAACAATGCGGGGCCCGACTTCGACCGTTCCCCGTACATAATAACCTAATACAAACATCGTATATAAATAACGTTAACGTGATGCAACATTATAATGTTTTAGAATTTAGTCTTCTCCGTTACAATTTTCACTCGTTTGTCTATACGCTTTACGAATACCTATCTACGCTAGCATTGTCTAACAGAGACTTTGTCTCGATTAAAATAGTAAAAACATTGTAAACATGTACATATTATTCTTATAACGTACTTATTACATAGTTTTAGTACGCAAGTGTCCAAATGTTCGGAGAATTAATGAATTGACGTGAAACGTAGCAACAGCTTTAGCTTGTGATTTTTATTTCTGCAAAAATCTTTTTTTTGTATGAAACAAATGCAATATTGAATATTAGCATGTATGGTGACCTGTATTGGCGCATGCTCCAAGTTTATCAAAGACCTTAAACGAACGACAGGCTCCTACTGTTTCTCCATGACAAAAAAGTTAATATAATTGAAAATACAGATACAATATAGATACTCTTATACAGTGTCAATGCCACTGCATTTCCAACAGAAGGGATTCAACATTAGCATTTAATTTAGAGAAACAGCAAGCGCAAGGATCAGTCGTATTATTGTCAGATATCCTTAATTCATAAAGACCCGCGCTACGCTCAGAACCACCCTGTTGTATTCATATCACTGTTGGATTGCTGACTCTATAGCATTTACAGACGTTTTAAAATTATGTCATGTATCATTGGACAATTTTAACAACAATTAATTGCATAATTTAACAGAGAGTGAGAGTCGATGTTCACATTCATAGGTTGTATGGTATATAAAATACGTTTAATATGTGCTAAAGATAGCGACACGTAAGGCGATTTGTGCATCATTTTGTACTTATATACAAATTTAGTGAAAATTAATCATTATAAACGATTCGATGTAAAACCACGAAAGTGGCAGCACTACAGCGTCCACTTTATATATTTATAATGATTAATAACTTAATCACAGTAACTGTAAGCTAAAAATAAAAATAAACCCTATGCGTAATTATATCTACAAGAAACTTATGAGTATTATAAATAAAGGCCCGACTCTCTAAGGGCAATACTCGCAAAACATTAATAAAGATTAAGAGATCATAATTTTAAACCTACATGTTAATTACCTTCTCTAGATTAGTCTATAATACGCACAATTTATAAGCACATGTCACTGGGAGAAATGATAACTAGTGTGTTAAAACAAAGACAGCGAAACTTTTAAAACTAAAAGTGATGTTAGTGAAAGAAAATAATATTATTTTTTGTTTTAAGAAACTGAATTGAGCAAATTTTGTTAAAAAAAATAAATTGAGCAAGAGTAGACCGTGACAGTAGCTGTCGAAAAAAAAAACAAAAAAAAACAATCGATATAGAATATGAAGAAAAAACAATAGTCGACGTTCACTCGTTCACATCTTCGACTAGAAATATAACAAAACGAAATACTATAAATAGTCTACATCGATAACTATCTCTAAATATGTATATAGCAGTCATGTTATATTTAGTATTAATCGAACTGCCTCGGCTCGTGGTAAAGTTATATGAATGGCACAGTTTCACGTTAGTTTAGTAAAGTATAAGAATATTATTAATACAATAATTAAATAGGTAACAAAGCCAAGTAACGTTTACCATCTACATGATTTAACAGTATAGCATATTCATCATTCATCCTCGGCCGGTGACCGTGGAGATAGCAAGATTACGATATGCTCATTTTTGACACATAAGATGGTAAACATTGTTTCGGCTCCTGATTTCTACCCCACTTAGTGCGTAGGGTCAGTTCGTGTCCGTCCATAACGCTAATATTAATGTATTCACATCAAATTTGATAAGCATGGTAATGCGTCGTCGGACATTTCGTACTTTGCTAGACCGAGAGATATGTGTTGACGCCGCGCCGCGGACGACCATGATGGTTATTCCCGCCTATTCTAGGGACGCTTGGCTTTAACAAAGATCGATGCGCTCATCACACAATTTAGGCCGCACCACTTTCTATCTACAATTGTTCCCACTCGTAAACAGATTCATTATCCTATCTAAATGAAATAAATACACCGATTCGAACATCCCCAACGCATTAATTACCAACAAACATGTATAAAAAGATATATATGTACATACATATGATTATTTATATATATATTTATACATATAGTAATAAATTTCAGTGAATTTACAAATGTAGAGTTAATAAAGCTTCATTAAAGACAACGTTTTTCACAAATAAGCGATGAAATTATTTGATAACTTCAACGTGAAAACTCAAGAGTTGGACGCGGCGCGGGGGCGGGGAGCGCGGTTGGCGCGGTGTCAGGGGCGTCGGCGGCGGTGCGGGGCGCGCCGCTGGAATGTGGTGGCGGGGGCGCTGCGCCGCGCTAGAGGGGCTCGTGGGGCGCGGGCCCGCCGCGCTCGCGCTTCAGCCGCTGCTTGAGGTGCACTTTCGCGTGCCGCTTCTTCTCATCGGAGCGGGCAAACTTGCGGCCGCACACGTCACAGGCGAACGGCTTCTCGCCGGTGTGCGTGCGCACGTGCGTCGTTAGGTGGTCCGAGCGACTGAAGGAGCGCATGCAGATGCGGCACTGGAACGGCTTCTGGCCCGTGTGGATGCGTATGTGCCGCGTGAGCTCGTCGGAGCGGGAGAATCGGCGGTCGCAGCCGTCTACGGGGCACGCGTACGGCCGCTCGTGCACGGGCGTCTTGCTCGGCCGGTTGGGGTACTTGCGCGGCTTGACGGCGACCAGGCGCAGCGGCTGCGCGCTCTGCTGGTACACCTGCGAGAGGATCTCGTGGCCCTTGCTCGTGGACGGGTTGTACTCGGCGAGCTGCACGGGCCGGTCGCCCGCGGGGCTCGGGTACGGCTCGCGCTTCGGCAGGCCCGAGGGGCCGGGCGCGGGCTGCGGGGGCGGGGCGTACTCCTGCGCGTCCCACGGGTGCTGCTGCTGCTGCTGCTGCTGCGGCCGGTACTCGCAGTGCTGCGGCGGCGGGCAGGGCTGCTGCGGCGCGCAGTACGAGGGCTGGCACTCGGGCGGCAGCAGGTCGACGCGCTCCTCGTACTCGTGCTGGAAGTACTTGTCGACCCCGGGGCCCGGGCCGGGCGGCAGCAGCCACTGGAGGGGCGGCGAGGGCGCGCGCTTGGTCGCCGGCGGCCCGTACAGTGAGGCGCTGGCGCTGGACGCGTTGCTGGCGTCCTCGGCGCGCGCGCCCGGCGACAGCGACGCCTCGTGCTTGTGCCGCCGCGGGGAACACCCCAGCGATAGATCATCGCCCGGTAGAGTACCTGCGGCAAGCAAACACTCGCTCTAGACACCCGTTGTATGGCAATGGTGGAATTAAATAGTGGCGGCACCTGTCGTTTGCGAACGTTCTTGGTAATATCGATCGACAGTCAATAGTTCCGCTCAATGCGGTGTACTAAGGATGGTAAAAATGCATACGATTAGGATTCAAGTAACAGATTAACGTAAAGCTTGTAAATAGCGCAGTACTTTGTCCTTTAGTCCTTTTTTTGTGTACCGTGCTTATATTAAAACGTTTGTGTAATAACTATCTTGTTGGACAGCTGATAACATGAAACTAAAGATTAGTGCCGAATGTGAAAAGTTAGCTCAGAAGAAGCTTAAGAGTAGAGTATGTTGACACTAAATATTTTTGTAAGCATGGAATAATTGTAATAGTTCTCGCTGTTTCGTAAATTTCCTAATGTACATACAAGAAATAACTTTTATTATTTTGTGTTAATTTAGAAACTAACTAAAATATTCGCTACTTCAGTGGAATCATAAACAATATGCTAAAGTATTAACTGCCTTAGGCGTAATTTTAACCTAGAATACTAAAATAGTCAATACAAAAAGTACTAAGTAGTTGCCAGTTATTTATAGTGACGCTAAAAATATAATTCTTAAATTGAAAGTCATATATACTTCTCGTAATTGCAGATGTCTTAAAATGTCGATATTAATAACGGAATATTAAATTAGTAATTCAAAACAACATTTTGAGTCGAAAGATTTAATTACATATAAGTTAACTTTTTAAAGTACGGATTTTAAATCGCCGTTATCAAATTAAAAACCCAAGTGGTAAATAAAGATCGATTATGATAAATTTCTTAAAAATTATCCTATCTTGTTGATCATTAGGTAAGCTGTATAAAAAAAAACACTTTAGCTACTTAATGGCATATCTGTTTTATGTTATTCGGAGTATGTTTTAAAACTGACGATTTTCATAGGGCGCGCCACATCAATCTTAATTAGAAAGCGCTAAATTAAGGTGTTCGACATGTTAATTTCGTAACAAGGCCCGTACATTGTGTCTCATTAGTCATTGTTCGTCTTATAACCAGTTATAGGTAATTAAGCACGAAGCTCGATGGTAACTGTTGAAAGATAGCATCTCGGCGGAGAGAAGAATTTTGTGCGGCTCTAATTAGGCGCTTTTCTCTGCCATGAAATGTGAAGATTAAAGTTGGTTAAAGTTTTTAATAGTCGGGTGTTTTCTTAATGGTTTGTGATTATTTTGGTGTTCAGTGATTCATGTCACGTTGTTTTCTACCATAACGCTTAAGAGTTTGTTGGAACGCACAAATCTCAGGAACTGTAAGGCAGATCGGAATTTTTTTTTGGTTTAGATATAGTTCAGGAAATTAGATATAGGCTGGTATCACCTCTCGTTCAGATTCAAAGAAGCACGACACAGACCACATACTTCAACTATTTGGAATTCACGTGAAATGAGAATTAAAGCTGACGACACGCGTGCGTTGGATTAAAATTTTACACGGTTCAAACTACGGGGTTGCAGTTACAAATGTAATTTACGATCTTTGATGTTACAGATTTAGAATATTGTGGAAATGTAGTACGTTTATTTATTACAGTTAAATTAAAAAAAATCACAATAGCAAAATAAGGTATATTCGGTATTGATTTGCAATCGAAGAAAATGTTAGAACAAGAAATCGTCTCTTAAAGTTTGTCCCGTATTATAATTTTAATAATTTCATACTAACTGCAACATTGAAAAGTTACTTATTACCTATTAGATACTATTATCTAAAAAGTAAATAGTATATTTACCTACTATATACTATTTATTTTTTTAATTATTACCATTCTGAGTTTTCGTGTCAGTTTTTCCACTTTATTTATCTATGCTGTATTTTGTGCGAGAATCCTTGCACATGTAACGCTTAAAACAACATACGAGAAATCGTGACGATGGTCTCTCATTAACAGATGTTTGGACGTTTTTGCGTATTAGTCGGAATGGGTCGGCGGGAAGCAACGCGGTGCGCGATAAGTCTCGCCGGAAACCGATAGCTCTATTATCACGTTGGCCGAGTGGCCACCGAATGCACGTCCATCGTCTAATGGATGGATGTTCGAGTCGAACTTTTCGCTTTGATTTTCTATGACACCAGTATGCTATTGTTCATTTTTTTATTCGTTTCTATCTTGTATTTGTTGTGGAAAATTAAATCAAGTAAGCCAGTCGAAATCGGTACTTATGTTTTTATATTCCGATTGTCGGGATTGTTTGTTGTCGTATAAGTTTCTATTTTGTATCTGTTATAGACAATTATTTAGTTTGATTAATGTTATTCAGCCGAAATCGCGGATCGCTTATGATTTTGTATTATGTCTTTACGGGATTGTTTTGTTGTATACGTTTCCATATTGTATCTATTATGGTCAATTGGCTTCTTCAAGCTAGATCGTGTATCGAAGTGCGATTTTCATTTTGGCAATATTTATGATAACATGCTTATGGTAAAAGAAACAAAAAAGGTTACTTATCAATTGTGATGATAATCACGTCTCATTAATTGAATTATCGCTCCTGCATATAAGCAATACGTACTCTTCTTATGTACTTAGGATGTAAACTACAAAGTAAACTAAAAGACACTACAAAAGTAAACTAAATAAAAGAATTTAGAGAATAAGAAAAGATATTGGATAAAAATTCAATTTTTTGTAATAAGTTTTTAAACTAAATTAAAGAATTTAGAGACTAAGAAATTTGGATAAAGATTCATTTTACAGTTTTCTGTAATCTGATTTCAGGTAAAGATTTGGAAAAAAAATTAAAAATGTATAATAAATTTTTTAGAATCCTTTTAGAGAAGAAAATATTGTTTAATCAATCTCCTCAAATAATTTTGCTAAAAACAAAATTATTGCGTTTCAAATCAAATTGTAGATATTAATGTGGCAATGACTTTTTAATTTTGCTCACAGTTTAATTTTCAATTATTTACTTTTGCTTGAATATGTGATCCGATCGCGTTTCAAAACATTTTTAGAGTAAGAATGCAAAATAAAAGTTCCATAACGAGTGGCATGTTAATGAAATGGATATATTTACCAAAAATCCCGTTGCTATCTCATGTCACCAAGAACCGAACATTGGTAAATGGAGAAACCGCGAGTACCGCACTCAAACACTACATAATCGCTAAGCTCGCGGAACTAAATACCGGCGTTTCCACAATACGCGGCCCATTCATGAACGCGCATCGATCCGGCGAACTTTCAATTTCACTGAACACTTCAACTTTGACCTATCGTCGGTGCCGTTTCGTTGGCACTACTCGGGGTCACGCTAGGGGTTGTGGCGTCAGCTCGCGCGGGCGTTTTGTTTACAAGCGGGCACCTGAGATGGGCGGCGGCTCCAGTAGGCTGGGGAAGAACGCCGGCAGGTCGGAGGTGGAGACGGGCGTGTTGAGGTCGGCCGGTGCGCCGCTGGCGGTGAGCGCGGGCGCCGGCTTGAGCGCGCAGTCGAAGCCGAGCGCGCCGACGTCCGCGAGCGACAGTAGGTGCGGGCCCGGCTCCGTGTCGGCGCCCATGCCGTCGGGCACCACCTGCTCCTCGGCCCACGGGCCCAACGGTATCACGAACAGCGCCAGCGTGGAGACGGCCTCTCGCGCGGCCGGTGCGGAGGGGACTGGCGCCGCGCGTGCCGCGACGCACTTTTATCAATGGGCCCGCGGTCCCATATTCGGTAGCGGCGCGCGCAGGGCGGCCAATCGCGCGCCGCTCTGCCCCCCGCGGTGACGTCACCGCCCGTCCCGCCCACCGCCCCCGCCGCCCTGCGGTCGCCCGGCTTCCCCCCACGGACCCCACCGCCCCCCCCGCCGCCCAGCGAAGCCTCGCGCCACTCCACTGGGTAACGAACGCGGCTGCATTGCTGCTTTTGAACTATCTGGTATTTGTCTTTGGATGATGAATATTTTTTGTCAATTTCGGTGTCATGAAATATATAAAGCTTCGTATGGCACATTTCCTACGGGCTTCTAAGGCCTCGCTTGCGCTCCAATAGCAGCCGTCCGCGGCTCCCCGTCTCTACGTTTAAGCGATCGTTCAGCTCTGTTTGTTTCTTCTGTCGACTTTACGACTTTTCGTGAGTGTTCTTTCAATGACGTGATTTCTTTTAGAGTAATTTAATGTTTTCATAATAATAAATAAATAATTTCTAGTAGTTATGCTAACAGTATTTTGCTTTATAATAAAATTTTATTGCTATTCATTTTTAAAACCTAATATTTTAGCCGACTTATCAATTGTTAAAACTGTAGCCTGCTAAGGTAGTTTTTTATTAATCAAAACAAATAATATAAATTTATAGATATTTCACAGGCAGGACACAAATTTATGAAACAAATTTATTTTGAAATTAAAATTTTTTCGAATTTATAAATAAAAATTCAAAAAGTTATTTTACCATTACCATGACTAGTGTTGATATAGACTGTTATAAACAAGTGAGTGTGTAACGTGCATTTCGCGGGCTTCTAAACTAATGAATGCAAATTTCAAGAGAAATTACTTACATTTTTTTTACAATTTTCTTCTTTTTTTTATTTAAGGTGTACTCTTTTGCTGCTTTGTATTATATTGCATTTGATACATTTTTTTACCGCTTACTGCATTCTAAAATACTGATTTACATATAGAACTAGCTGACTCGGCAAACGTTGTTTTGCCATATAAATTATTTCTAGAGGAATCGGAACGCACGCATAAAGTGTTTGACAGGTTACACAGACATAGTTGACAGGTTGACATGTACAGTTTGTATGGGAAAATAAAATTGTTGCTATTTCGATTTTTCATGAAATTTTTCCAGAATTTATCATCGTTTAACCTTCCATGGACTGCCATAAATATTTCAAAACCAAAATTAGCCAAATCGGTCCAGCCGTTCTCGAGTTTTAGCGAGCCGAACGAACAGCAATCCATTTTTATATTTAAGACTAGCTGACTCGGCAAACGTTGTTTTGCCATATAAATTATTTCTAGGGAATTTGGAAGTGTTTGACAGTTTACACAGGCATAGTTGACAGGTTGACAGGTACAGTTTGTAGGGGAAAATAAAATTGTTGCTATTTCGATTTTCCATGCAATTTTTCCATAATTTCTCATCGTTTAAACCTTCCCTGGACCGCCACAAATATTTCAAAACCAAAATTAGCCAAATCGGTCCAGCCGTTCTCGAGTTTTAGCGAGACTAACGAACAGCAATCCATTTTTATATATAAGATTTTATCTAAACGACACTGACTACTTTGGGATACATAAATGAAATTTCGATTGTAAACAACTGAAATTTATGGGCGATGTAAGAATAAAACATTGTCAAATTGTCCTGCGCTGTAAGGACGCTCTACATACGTCAATTTCACATGGACATACACCCAGATCCGCAATAACTATGTGTGCCTCACACGAATAATTGTCCTGTGTGGGAATCGAACCTCGGCGCCGAAGACAATACCTTGGCAACTGCACCACGGGGCCATCGCATACAGAGTTACAATTAGAAAAATTACTGGTTTGTATCTGTTGTATAATTATTAACTGTGGCTGTTATTCGTCTCTTTATCTGTCAAAATGAAATGTTTCAGTCCTGTTCTTTTTTTAGATGTTAATTAAAAGTATCTTAAGCAATTTATCGTATTTATATTGTTTTTAAGTTCCGACGTTACGAAATTCAACAACACAACAATTATAGTTATAAATGTGACATTTTAAATGTTTTGAATAGCGTTTATTTAATTATAAAAGTAAAGTAACAGCCTATAAATGTCCCAATGCTGGTCAAAGGCCTCTTGTGTATGGCCGGACAGACTTCACATATCTTCGAAATATTTTTTTTATATCATTTCATAATCATTTCGAAAATATGCGTGTTCTCACGATAAAATTATTAAAACTTTCATGAGACATTATTACGTAATAATAAGACGGCTGAACTCACGCAAACCCGGTGTATGTACCGACTAGTTTCGGACTCAACGGAGGTCGTTCATCAGGGTGAGTGAGATTAGTTCGCGGTCGCGCCCCGTCTCGCACTGCACTAGTCGGTACATACACCGGGTTTACGTGAGTTCAGCCGTCTTATTATTACGTTATGTTCTCACGATGTTTTCCTTCACTTTAAATTGCACTCTTTGCTTATTACGTGCAGGTGCATTTGGTACAGGCAGTAACAAATAGTTTTCCATGTTTGGATCCGAACTGTATTTGTAAGCCACTAAGATTATACCTGCATTTATTTCGTATAAGTAGTAACATATTCTCATAAGTTCATTTTATTCAACTAGGAAATAACAATCTTAATTAAGAGTTGTTGTATAATAAGGATTTTAAGTTAATATTTGCATATATTGAAGGAAAAGAAAAACATTTTAATGAAGTCGTCTCGTCGAATGCACGAATATGATATCTGTAAATAATATTTGTGCAAAATCTTATCAACCACTTAGTGTGTTAATTTGCAACGCCGGTTATTTGTATTTGCCAAATCGATTACACGTTCAATTACTGTAATGTTTGTGAGTTGAATGTGATAATATTCGGAGATACATGTGCAAAAGTTTACTTAATCAAATATCTGGAAATTAATGACCTCATGCACTTATGCTTTCTTATAGTACGCATTGTGAAATAAAGTTTAAGGTGCGTTTCGTATAGTTTTAAATTACAATTCATTGTTATTTTTATGTCAAAAGTTATCACGTGAGCAGGCGGTATCAAAAGGTTGGCTCCTGTTACTTCACCTGTTACCCACCAGACGAAACCTAGTCTCCTATGAGATGTGACGAGCATACCCATTCGCGCACATTACATTTATAACTTCAGCTTTAATGCGGAACAAAGATATAACCATTTATGAACAGTGTTCGCGAGACGTACAATAGTTTGGCACGCGGATTTACTCGTAATCTCTCGATGGGACGGTTCGAGGCGAGTCGAGGCTACATCTAAGTGTCGAGGGGTCGATGCGGGCCCCGTCTGCCGTGGGACCTCGGCACGCGAGACACGCCGACGCCCAAGCGGGCACGCTAACCCAATTATCGCGGCGGCGACGCCGAAGAAAAATAACAAACCCACGATACCCATGGTCCAATTATAGCCGGCTATTCGCGGGTGCGCGGGCGCGTTGCCGCTGTCACGGCTATTCCTGGCCGGTCAGCTGACGACCGCGCCGGCTCGTAAACACCACGCGGCCGATTGACGTGCGCGAACAATCGTGCCGCCCAGGTGAATCACGCACCCGCAGCGGCCCTGCCGGCGTCCGGCTAAAATTAACTTGACCACTTTTGGTTCGGGCTCCGGAGGCGGGGTTCTATATCCGCGCGTTACCTCAATGCCCGTTGTCTATTTCGGACGCCCGCGCGTTGCGTCTCTTCTAGATTCTTATTCCCGCTCGCACGTCATTATACAAGCACGCGGCGCGGCCGTCGCTTTTATTGACTCGCGTGTCGTTCGCGGGTTTATTTGATGCGTTAATGAGCGATTACGATGTAATATGTGTCGAATGCTAATTGACATTATTATTGTAACTAAGTAGAGCGATGATAGTTCAGTGTCCGGACGCTCGCGCTTAATTCAATATTCTCGAGCAACCTGAGTTCGATTCCCGGTGCCGGCACCAATGAAATAGTTAATTTTAAGTGCCGAATTATCACGTGCTCTGCGGTGAAGGAAAACATCGTGAGGAAACCTGCATATTTTGGAAATAATAACAAAAAAAATTTGAAGATATGTGAAGTCTGCCAATCTGCAGTGGGGCCGCGTGGTGGACTATGCCCTGATACCCTCTGTACAAAGGAGGCCTTGGCCCAGCAGTGGGTCATGTATAGGCTGATATTTTACTTTTTAAAGTATTGCGCTTGCTTTTAATTCAGTAATGCCCATGCGTAACTCAGTTCAACTCCCGATGTCGGCACTTTTTGCTGTTCTACCACGGCGGGTAACGTCGTGAGGAAATATTAGATATATAGTAAAAACAATTTCGAGGCATAGAGAAGTTTGCCACTTCGCATTAAAGTTTTTTGGTGGACTTTGATACGAAGTGTACAGAGATGCCCTATGTTCTGTTATAGTGTATTAAGGTTAAGCTGTATTTAAATTTAACGAATGTTAGCGTCATTACAGTCACCCAATCGAGTGCGTAACGTGCTATCATGAACGTATCTATTCGAAACGCTATTCAGTGCCTTAAGTGGACTCGAGCCGGAGTGTTTACGACACGTCAGCGTGGCTCCGTAATGTCAACACAAACAATCGTATTGCGTATCAGAGCAACGTCTTCCCACGGCCCGCTTCCGAGCTCAGTGGGTGGACGGATCAACGTGCTTTCTGAACTTTCGCACGCACCGCCGCCGCATCGTCGACCGACGCTGACGTTAAGTCGTTTCGCCAGCCAGAGATCCAGAATAAGCGTGATAATGGATGCATCCATTACATTGTCGCAACAATTGCGATTTGTTTTTTCATTTCACGATCGTTAACACGGTCCCCGACCGAGTGTTGCAATTTTATTACGCACATATGTGATCGTTCTATGCCAACAACTAGATTTACTTTTCGTTTAATTGGCCACCTGTCTTTTAACGAGCACCCGCGACGTGTGTCCAAGATTCCATTCTGAAAAGAATGTTATTGTATCGTAAAAAAAGTTATTATCTGGTCTCGTGACAATTTTATTCGTTTTAGAATCGCTAAAGTTTCGTAACACCCTTTATAACTTTATCTTATTAATTTTATCCTCTTTAAATAGGATAGGGAAAAAAGACTACAAGGAAGATAGTAGGCCGAAGAGAATTATCCATTTGGAATTATAACAATAATAGATTACAAGTCAATCTATGAACATTCTTTTTAATAAGTAACAGCCTATAGATGTCCCACAGCTAGGCAAAGGCCTCCTCTGTACAGAGGGTATCAGGGTATAGTTCACCACGCGTCCCCACTGCGGATTGGTAGACTTCACATATCTTCGAAAATTTTCTTTTTAATAACAGTGCTCGAAATTAATGACCATGACTCATGACATGATGGGTCACCGCAATTGAACTATTAAGGTAAGTAGTCTATGTTCTAAGTAGGTACTATAATGTCCAAGGATACATTGAGGAAAAGGATGTGTGGAAATGACTCTTGCTCTGCACTTGCAAGACCCCTGGCTGCTGCTGATTTTATACCTAAATAAGTTTGTATAATTGCATCAAAAAAAAAATTACAAAAAGAACAAGACCGCAGAGTTTGTTGCCGGTTCTTCTCTGTGCAGGTCTAGTTTAGTGAACCGGTGGTAGATTTTTTGTTGACGTTCAATAAGACCTTAAGTTAAGCCTATATTGAATAAATATACTTTGACTTTGACTTTGACTTTAAGTGACCTTATATAAAATGTTTAGCACTAGACACTCGACACAGGAGTATTTTGCGTTGCCAGCTTTTTAAAAAAGAAAGAAGGCGGTTTTCTTGCTGAACATCCCTGAGTAGTGAATACCCACAACAGTTTACAATTTATTTGCTCGCAGATAATTTCCTGAAAATTTTGTTCAAAAAGTGCAGTTTATATCAGGAACGTCTCCTTAATACGGCAAAATGCAGTGGCCCTCATGTGAAACGATGCGCTGTCATGGAAAGTTGTGCTGAAATAACTGTATAGGTATCAGTTATTTCAGACCATTAGATAAGACATTACATTATAGGGCAGATTACGGGGGCACGTCTAAGAATACCGATGTTGCAAATGTGATTCTAGGCGACGACGCCGCGTCCGTTTGTAAATATAGCTTTGATGAATGTACCACAATAAATTTCACGGCTTGAGTCGTTAACGGCTAGAGCAATACTTGCAATGCAACCCACATTTGTGCTGATATGATTTACGATGCCAGTAACATCACAGACCGAATTGTAACTAAATACATTAGACCGAGTCGATTACACGAGTTTTATGCTATCTCTCGGACTCGTAATTATTGCTCACGTGGATACGAGTAGTTTACATCTATACATGTAATATTCGTTTTGTGTCCCGTACGGGGCAATATTTTGCTTACTTCATAAATTGTTTTTCTGAGAATGGGTATATAATATTTGTGATATTTCATCTCTCAGTGCGGAAGTCGTTTTTAAAAACAGAAAAATTCCCGAAGGAAAAGTGAAGCTTGGAAAGGAAAATTTGTAGTAGCCTTCAAATTTGTTATAGGGCTTAATATATTTTCCTCCGATCGATATGTTTGTCGCATGACTATTCGAGGTTATGTTTTGCTACGTCTACGCAATGTTATTAACATAAAGTTTAGTAGAAAATTGGAATAAATTATCGATTGGGGGCGAATCACTAAGGCTGAACACATTTAGTAATAGTAATAGCCACAAAATAAGGACATAATACAGTTAAGTAACAGTGTATAGTTTGTTGCAACTTTGTTATAAACCTTAAGGGACAAGCCCCTGGTTTCGTTTATGCAAGCATACCCATACGCGTGACTTTGCTTATGCAGGGTCTATTATTCTATCAAGCTCCTGGAAACCGATGAAATACTTTTATAATCTGCGGACATATGTTGGAGTTTGTCTATGGTCTATTTAAAACGTCAACACTAATAAAAAAATTATTACACTTCTTACAGGTAAAAATATCTTTCGTCTGCTTGATTTGTATTGCTTGTTGTGCAGATTTTGCGTCGTATGATCGTGTCTGACTAGTAAACACTACTAAATATAGAATGAACTTTATTGATTGCTATCTAATATCGAAATTGGTCCCGCTAATCGATAACATCTAAAAAATCCCGTCATGTGACGTTATTTATTAAGATTTAGCAACAGCTTTAACAAACTGTTTCGTCTTGAACATTTTTTAACTTTAAAACGCTTTTACCGAACGGTAAACGGTTTTTCCGCCTTAATTTGTAAAGTTCCTTTTTTTGTTGTAAAGGCTTTTGTTGCACGAGAGTGCCCTTCACTTATAGTGAGCTGTCGATCGGGATCAGAAAACGGTGCGTCAATTCCCGCTGACCGATAGTGTGCTAAAACGCCGTGGAATGACGCGACTATCATGGCTGACTGAGCATTCTGTTGGCACCCATCGCGTCGGACGTGGCGCGTCACGGCTATAATTACACGAACACTCGAAAGCCAATCTCGAGCAGATTCATCACCACCACTGACGTAGGACACGCTCGACAGAGCGCAATGTTTATCTCGTTACATTTATAGATTTTGTGTAATCGATGCGAAAACGTAACGCCAATTGCGTAAACCTATAAAAAGTTTTACGTGGGAAACGGGAGAGGCCATGGATTTTATAATTGCACCCGGCCCTTGCTTTTGGGATTTGTAGCCAAAAAATCCCAAAATCTTTACATAATTTTATAAACTATAACCGAAATACTAAAATTTTTGTTTGCAAAGCAAATTTTTCATTACTGTAAAAGATTTGAACCTTCGAAAGTATCGTGAATCGTATCGAAGAATCGTGGCGAAAGTATTTTACAAATTTTAAAATTTCATCTTAAGTGCAGAGAATAGTGCTATGAAAATTACTACATTACTTGCACATTTAAAAATTAGAACTGTAATAAGTAATAAACCTTCATAAAATGTATATATTTCAACGTAATGTCTGGTTTTATTCTTTTTCGAAGGGATATCATCTGCACTTCTCGCAATCACGGAAAGTGGAGTATTCGGGCCACCTCACTCACCGGCCGAAGATCGAGCTCTAATCCAGATGACGGCACTATTGAAATTCTTGAATTGTAAGTTGCAATTTTATGAGCTGAGTTATCACGTGTTCAGTGGTGGAGGAAAACATCGTAAGGAAATCTGCAAATTTTCTTAATATTAATGACAAAATATTTCAAAAATATTTGAAGTCTGCCAATCGGCAGTGGAGTCGCGAGTTCAACTTCGCCCTTATATAAACTGTTACTATACTTTACTTCATACTAATGTTGAGCTAATTTGCATCAAATAACCTAGGGTATAATTTACATCCATAGGACTAATTTTTATTTCCTAGGGAACAAGTATTAAATCTCTTTGTCAACCGTGTTGAGAGAAGACTCAGGCTAGGCAACAAGAAAAAAATCGCATCCAATATGGGATAGCAAATTATTCATCATTTATTAATTACATTTTTACATACAGGTTATTGTATTATAGAAAAGTGTATTTAGATTTGTCGACCCGAGCGAGGCTGAGACAGTACATGCAGTATATGCAAGTCCTTTGTATGAATAATAATTTATATGAACATTAAGGGCATAACCGGTAAATATTAACCTTTTTAACTCACAGTGCGAAAAGAAAGAACGAGTAGATATTAGACATGGCAGCCCAGATGGCAGAAACAAGAACGCAAGAGCTGAAAGACTGCGTCAGTACCGACATTCTTATCTATAAAAAGTTTCGGTGTAATAATTGTACATTAAAATATGTCATGATTGAAACGCCTTCAGTTGTTTGGTATGGTATCGTGAATGGTATGGTCAGCTCATTTGTCATCATCATTTCGATGACCACTAGTCATAACAATAATACCTACATCTAGAAGATTAGTTCCAGGATATTGCATCAGAGAAGTGAAGCTATCAGTAAACGATCTACCTCCGAATTCTGTCCTTATTATCCAAGAAGTTCAATGCCCGCTATATAACTTAACAATGAAATAGAACCGAAACGCTCCATTTACAACTGGACAGTTCATCGACCTGTCTGAGATAGACGAAACCACAAAGCTTCTATTACATTTTTTATTCATTAGGAATTTGTAATTAAACGTCAACTCGTATAACTATTCTATTCCTGCAAAAAGAGATTAATCAACCGTTATGAATTATCAAGGAATGGGGGGGGGGGGGGGGGCAGTTGATGTGGAGGCATGACGTTACGCGCCTTTACCACCCTCCCCATTCAAGAATTATTCGCGTGACGCAAGCCGCACTAAACGGTCCGATGTTCCGTATAACCTCATATGCGGCAGCAAAATGTTTGTCATGTTATTCTATCAATAAGGTATTAAGTTTGATTGAACGACGACTTAAGCAACAAACGAAGAGAGTTCGAAAATCTGGGGTAGAGTCACGCAGCATTTTGTTCGAATTAACGGGCCGGGCAAGACCCACGGCCTCATAGAACACCATCATACTTTCGCGTTTTGTCTGGTCAATCAGGTAACCGGAGTTCACTGTTTCTATAGTGAGAATCATAGCATCTACAACTCAGGTGTTATAAGATTTTTGAAACACCGGTTGACGTAATGGATAGCGAGAGTTCGATTCCCACTACTGGAAAGATTGTACGATGAAGATGGTGTTTTTCTAATGTCTGGATGTCAATAATATACATTTATTAAAAAAAAAGAATGTTTATCAGTTGCCTTGTATTCACAGTGAATGCTAAGTTTGGGTTCTAGATGACGTTGTTAAAATATAGTCCTGGAATATTTATTTTATTGTTTATGGACGGTCATGGGCGATGGTAATCACTTAAGACCAGGTGAACCGCCTGCGGGCTTGTAAACTTCCTTCCAAATAAGAAGAAAGAAATCTTCAAATGCTACTGTCACTAAGCAATGGACAAATCGACTTTATCGATTTATTTTAAGTATTTAAAATGTATCTCGATGGACACAGAAAAAATACGGGGGAAATCGCAATCAACGTCGAAAACATTATGGTGAACAGCAACGCCACCAGTCGGCAGCAACAACTGGAGTTACGTCACCGAGAACGAGCGATTCACTATCGGTAAAGCCATGGAGATAGGGCATAAGTGCCGATTATCAACCGCTATGACGTCATTGCATAAGTGACAGAAAATTGGTTTCGCGGAAGCGGCCCGGCGAAGTGCGTCAGCTGAGCACCTGTTGTTCGACCGGCGGTGCCCTTGTGCGCCTACCACGGCCGGGGACACGGCGCCGATCGATTCGGATGACGTATGGCCCCATTCATAAAGGGGGAGGCAGGGGGGACCACCCTTGCCCCCCCACACAACCCCCCGGGCCCCACACCCCGGCGTCGATTCTGTGAACCGGCGGGAAATTCATGAATGGGGCACACTGGCGCGTTCCATTTGCACTCCACGCACACATGCCCACGCAAATGTCAAAGGTTTCGCATCACCCGCTATATGGGAAACGGAGCGAAAACCGACCTGAAACTACATTCATGCGCATACTGAGCCAGTAAAAATAAGTATTTATTGGAACATGTAAACCTTTGATGGAAAGTTTATCTTTGTTTAGATCAATGTTGGTATCTGCTAACTGTTGGTATCATGAGTATTTTATGAATAAAATGCTAGATCTACAAAGTAATGAAAAGTTCAAAGTATTTGATTATCCGTGAAAAATTTGCCTAGTAGCATTTCGCACCAAGTCTGTACTTACTCGTAGTTTCTGAGCCTTTCTTGGTAGAAGTTTGTGTGGTTAACGTAGCACATACTACACAAGCAGCAAAAGAATCAATCGATTAAGTAATGTAACGATTTAAAACGATATATTTATGGATTAAATTTGTTTTCGCTTTTGCCCAGCATTGGTATTAGTATTAAAACGGTTTCTCAGTATCCGAACCGGTGGTAACTTACGAAAATATTAATTTCCTTGTAAAATTTCGACGTTTCATAAGAACGCGCAAGCGTCTATGTGAATAAAGATATTTTATTATTATTATTATCGTTCTTCAAGCATCAAAAAAAATTGAGAATGGTTTGCTAGACTTAGCATTCAGACATGACTATGTATGAATGTCTAATACCTTGTCTAATACCCAACTTTAAAGCTGAGCTCTATGTCTGGTGTGTGTTTTTATAATATAATACGGCCAATTTAAAAATGCTTAGTTAATATTCTTCGTACAACTATGTTTAGATTTAGTATTCGTTCATTAAATTGTGAAAATTATGTTCCGTAATTAAATTGCAATCAGTACTGACACAATGGAACACAAATGCCTTATTAAACTGCGTTCTATTTGAACATATGGTTTTCGAACTAAATCGTAATACAAATAGGCTAGTATGAAGAAACAAAACAAAGTTTATCGATACTGCACCCGCGAGCAGGGTCTCCAATTCTTTCGCATGACATAGAACCATAAAAGTTTTTTTCTTATAATAGTGCTATTTATGTGTTCAGATTTAGAATTTTCACACGATTATTTAGACGTCATGGTTTTGAATACATCCATTGTCATATTGGTCGAAATATTCTTAAAAATTTCTGATATCGTGATTGCCACAGTGTGAAAGTTATTGAGGACGTCATTGGAGTTTTGATTTAATTATAAATTCGTGATTATATTCAGAATTCAGACAGTGATAACTTATTCTTAAGCACTTTAATCTATATACATTTGTGATTAGTATTCTTTCGCAAAATCTCGTTGTTCAACACGTTTTTTTTAAATAAAAAAAATTTCCTTTTTTGGCACTAAAATGTTATCGGTATCGCGAATAGTTATTTATAATGGTATGAGAGGCATTAAAGGCAGTAAAATGATTTATTTTTTTCTTATTGGAGTTTCTTATTGAGTAGTGAACCTGCCGCTTGCGCCAGAGGGTGTGGGTTCGATTCCCACTACTGGAAAAATTTTGCGTGATGAACATAGTGTTTTTCTAGTGTCGGTGTGCTTATATGTTATGTATAATATGTATTTATTTATAAAAAAAATATTTCAAGTATGTTTATGAGTTTTCCCTTGTAGAGTACAAGCGTTGCACAGTTTGGGACTAGAGAACGTTGTGTAAAATGTGTCCACAAAATATTTATTATATTATTATTTATATAGGAATATCCGCGACAATATTAAATGTATGGCGAAAGCAGTCAGCGGGATGCGCCGGCGCAGGGCGCGTGGGTGCGGCACGATTTGACACGCGCCCGCGACACTTGCATTCGCAATCAGCAATGGAAACCGTTGAGTAGCGATTTTCTAATATATTTTCAACCAATAATTTTACAAGCGAAATTAAAGGAATAAAAGGAAATTAAGCTTTTTCTTATTATGTAAGGGTGGGCCATGGCGCGATGGCAGATGTCAGTTTCCGGGCGGTCGCATTTAATTCAATATACTCGAGCGACCTGAGTTCGATTCCTGGTGTCAGCGCCAATGATTTTAAGTGCTGACTTATCACGTGTTCTGCTATGAAGGAAAATATCGTGAGAAAACCTGCAAATTTTCGAAATAATTACAAAAAATAATTGAATAAAATAACCTTTTCCAAACTGTAAAATATTGATATTAGTAGTTCAATATGTTTTATTCAATAGCGACTCCAATCCACTCTCTGTGCGTACTGCGGTAATGTAATCAGCAGTGCGCACGCGCCCCTTATTTACGGCGGATTACGCTCGCAATCAAGTCTCGCTTGCAGAAAAATAAGTGCTAGAGTAGCTTGCATCGCGTGCGTTACATACGCAGATAATGTGCCATTATGTCTTAAACATCACATTCGTAAGCCATTCGATATGGTGCCACAATAGGGATTTATGTTTGTGTTTTAACGAGACGGCTATGGGTCTTGATTCTGGATCTTGTATAAAACGCTTTTGAACCAACACTTTGATGGCGTATGTGTTTTCTTCACTTAATAAGCTTGATACTTTAATACACACATACATAAACAATGACATCTGTTCCCCTCAAGGGATACGGCAAAGATCATGAATTTTGACTTCCCACGAAGTCATCACAACTCTTTTTCCTCTTTCACGAGAATATTTCTATCTAAGGGTATTTTAGAAAAAATTATAATAATAACACTTAAAAAGTAATATTTTCAATGTTTAGCACATTGTGCACATGTCCCGTATAATATTTTTGTCTATCGTTATTTGTTCTGATTTAGCGAAATGTTTGAATGAAACTTTTAATAGTAACATTAATATGTGCTAATATTCTACGTACTATCTTTAATTTGTGTGTAGTATGTCCGGTGAATGCCAATGACCTCCCTTTTGATGCCCAAAACTATCTATGGGCTGAGCATAGAGCTTAAAACGTTTACTTATCAGGTTTATGTTTCCACTGACTGAGTGAGTCTTAACACGATGAAAGTCTGCAAGCGGTTTCTATACATACTTCAAGCATAGGTTTTGTTTTGCCTGTTTCCTATTTGTTAAGTGTCGTGTGAAGTCAAAGTGCGACGTCTGGTTCTGAATGCCCCTGGCATTGCGAGCGCATCGATTCCGCGTGCGGCCTTCTGCCAGGGCGTCGCGCCACTGCTACGAATCGATGGCATGTCCTTGAACCTGGGCTACGAGCGCATGCGCTATCCTCTCAGACGTCATTGTGGCCATGGCCAAGAAAACAAACCCACCCTCCCGTCGACTCACACCACCAACACCGACCCCACCCCCTCTTCCATTCATCGTCGCATATTCCAACCGCGACGCGGTGCCGGGTGGGTCTCGTCAACTCCGCCATTTCCCTATCGATCGCGACCTTTGTCCGCCAACTTGTTGAATGATGAATCAAGCTTGAGTAGAAGTTCAAGACTCGCACATTTATGACAACACTTTATGGTAGGTACTGGTTTCCATGTCTGATTGAATTTTTAATAGGTAACAACAAGTCGTTTTGTTTTATCGTACGCATATCCAATGTTATTTTAATGTATATAAGTGATAAACTCTGTTCAATATTTTATATATTTCATTTTATTACATTTGTTTAGAACTTTTACACTTCTTGTTTATATAACGCAAGAAAAAGAATTTGATAGAATTTTTATTATTTTTGTGGAAATAACCACCAAAAAAAAGATTATTTTTTACAAGACTTGGTATGAAGAAACAAACTTTTGGACTCTTACGTAACTTTAGTTTGAGTTTATTGATGTGAATATTACAATATCTCAATCAAAAATATTAGCATAGAGACATTTCATTTGAAATGCATAATTATGAATTTGATTACAATGGAAAACGAGATGAGGGGTATTCCTCCTACAGTAACATGTAAGCTCGATAAATAATTCATTGTAACACCTTCTTCGTCGATTTTATCTTGTTATGATCAAAAAATGTCGCTAAGATCAAAACCAACCACTTTCGCAACGAATGGTTTTGACATTGACATTGTGTTTAAAAATATATTTGGTCTATGGTTTTAATGTTGACATTGAGGTTGGTAGTACGTGTTGTAGGTCGACGTTGATGGGCTGGTTGAGAATGCTGGACTACGTATGAATGAACCCGCCGTGGGCGTGCTCCATTCATTCATTAGCGCGGAGGCCATTGCTCATGAATAATAAAACAAGGAAATCTGTAACGCTAATTATAATAAACTCGGTTGGGACACACGCCCGAATTAACATACAAGGCAAGAGGTTTTAATGTTTACCTTTGTTAATATTTGTCTAACAATAACATAAGCTATGTTTTTAATAAAATTTCATTTAGGCCATAAACTCTATGCCGATATGTAAACTAATAATAATGGGGAAAAATGAATATGAAAAATGAAGGATGAAATAGCTTCACGAAAATAAGCATAAAAATAATTAATTTAAAATTTATGACATAAATAATAAATTGCAATTTCTTTAATTATTAATTTTTTCTTTAGAATATATACACGTTCAACAAAATATTGTTTTGGAAATAGTAAGGATAAGAAAGAAAAGGCGTTTTATTGAAATTTTAACGTTAATAAAGATTTTATTACCAATTATAATTCCACACGCTTTTCACTGTACTGTACTTAATACTTGTACTTACTGTGTATAATTTTTAGTCCCTTTGCTTAATGGCACGAAATTTGTCGTACATGAGTTGTAGAAATGGGGTCCGAAATCCTAATGAGTGCATAATCAAACTATACAACATGAAAAAATTTGCAGGTTGCTTGAAATGAAAGTCTGTAATTGCTCGTTATAGTCGAGCAACCTGAGTTCCGGAGCTAGAACCAATGAAACTATTAATTTTAAGTGCTACGTACACAGTGTTGTGGCTACGTGTTGAAAACATAGTATTCATTAGGTTACATTGAGGTATTTTACGGATTTTATTCAGTTTCAATTTGATTTTTAAGCCGGCGGGACCGAACGGTCCCGTTTTCATGAACACTGAAAAGGGTTCGAAACTTCGGGAAAAATCAAATTAAAACTTGACAAGATACATTTAACCACGTAATTGATAATTTTAACGTGAATATTTCACGTTAAAACAAGAATACGATATATTTTTCATTATTTTATCAACCATATTAGTTTTTGAACATTCAGTGATTGTTGATAGTAGTTTTTTTAAGGGAAAATTTTATTGTCTTGTTCTTTTTTTATGTGAAAAGTTTGCCAAACGAGCAGACGGTTCACCTGATGTTAAATGAATACCGCCGCCCATAGACATCTGCTACACCCGAGGGTTTGCAGATGTGATGACAATGGGCACGAATGGGCAGGCCCGTCCGGGTTAGTACCACGACCTCACAGAAGACCAGCGTAAAGTGGAAGTATGACAATAATTCGTTTGGTGAGTGAGGTAGCCGGAGCCCAATTTTCAAAAGGTTGTCAACGCATTTGTAACCCTCGGGTGTAGCAGATGTCCATGGGCGGCGGTATTCGCTTACCATCAGGTGAACCGTCTGCTCGTTTGGCAACTTTTGACATAAAAAAAGGACACATTTTTACACGATTTCGAGTCCCAAAGTAAGTAACGCTTGTTCTATGGGTACTAGATAGCTGATTAACATACTTAAATATACTTTTGTTTTGTAAATTAATACATATTAGAAATGTATAAACACCCAGACACTGGAAAAACACTATGTTCATCAAATAATATTTTTTTTAGTAATGAGGATCGAAACGATACCCTCTGGGGCAAGAGACAGAGTCACTAACTCACTACCCACTACGCCAATCGGGTCGTCAAAATTAATATATCGATAATAAATTAATGACATGTATTAAAGGGTCTAAATTGAAACTCAAAGTGGATGACGCTCAGCGACATTGACAGACGAACCTGCATTAAATTCGTCCATGGACGACTCTAGCCGCCTAGTAAAAGGAACAGCTAGGCGTAGGAGTCAAGGTAAGGCCTGCAGGTTTTACGGCGGATTGGAGGCATTGTCTCCGCCAACACACAAAGTCACTGCTGTTGCCATCTGCTAAGGCCTGACTCATCTTGACCGTACATCTTTTATTTGAGTAGCATCACCGTGCGCAAAACTGAATTGTGGCTGTTGGGCCATTGTTCGGATTAGGACATTCCGCCCACGGCTGCTGAGAATAAGAATAATTTAAGAAATATATTAAGCTTCCTTTTTATTTTTCATACTATTTAATAATAAAATAAAAGAAGCCTTATTATTATTATTATAAAATAAGCTGTATTTTATTTGTTATTAAATACATGTTTTTGTTGGAGGAAATTTAATTATAAATTACACTATATTGTTTTTATTATTAAAACTTTTTGGTACATGCTTGGTTCATTAAAGCAATTAACAAAAAAACTAGATTCTGTTTAGTGTTTCATATACATTCGTAGTATCTATAAAACGGTTTAGGATAATGGAGGATGAGACATTTCCAATAAGAGTTTCAAACAAGATGAAGATATTGAACAATGATAGCTGTAACTACGCGTAATATAATATGTATATTAAACTAACAGAGCTAGTTTGGCGAAGCCATAAAAGGCTGCCAACCTATTTCGTGAAACAGAATAGCTATTAACTCCAATGTTTATAACTGTAATAATATTTACTCATTTAGTTGTTTATTCATCGTCTTCCGCGAGCTAAATATAAAGCAATGATTGCGGGAGGAAGTTTATCTCTAAAATAAGACAAGATATTTGACCGAATAGTATGTATGATATTTTTGACTATTTTAAATAATGTGCCCAATACATTACTAAAATAGAACTGTATCTAATTATATATACTACTATTTTAGATTATATTTTTATATGATTAGTCAATGCAAAAAATATGCTGTAGCTGTAGTAGTTTGATGTTAAATCAAATACAATTGTAATTTTCATATTTTATACGACCAGATTTTGTGGATTTTGTCGTGTTTCACATAAAATAAACTAATTATATTATTAGGATCAGTGGCCATGGGACGGTCCATGAATACAGAAACGTCGGGCATTTAAGTTTAAATTAAACGCCATAAAATCCTTACTTTTTACATAATAATAATTATGTAGTTATTGCATAAATATGACAATTGGTTTTAATATACTTAAACCTATAAAATGTCACTGTATAATAATGTATGTTTATACTATAACAATGTATGCTTTTTACTTAAAACGAATCACTATGAACGGGAGCATTGTTGAGGAACTTGAGTTCAAATCCCAGGGCGGTCACCAATCATAATTAATAATTGCAATTTCAAGTGCCGATTAACCCCATAGACAATTTTTAAAGACATTGCCCTTACAGTAGGATCACATTATGCTTTCATTCGAGTAGGAAGGACATTTTGATATCCTTACTAATATTATAAAGGCGAAAGTCTGTATGTATGGATGAATGTTTGTTACTCTTTCACGCAAATACTACTGAATGGATTTTAAAGAAACTTTACAATAATATAGCTTATACATCAGAATAACACATAATTAATAGGCTATAATTAATATACATATTTTTATGTATATCAATCTTTCTGTCTGAATGTTACGCCTTCAGTCCTTTCTACGCAGACGTAGTCGCGGGCAGCAGCTAGTCTTCTATATCTTCATCTTGATATGTCGCGGGCTTCAATACTGAGCCGTAGCTAAGTAATGGAAGATACAGTATAAAATATATCTTTTTAATTATTGCAAACGTATAATGAATTAATTATTTTTGTCTGTGGTAGGGTGTCGCCCGGGGAAGTACCACTGTATAATAATGTTTGCAACGAATTTGCATCCCTACGGGTGCTGTGAATGTCAATGGGCGGCGGTTAACTCTTAACATCAGGCTCCAATGCCAAAAAAAGCCGTTAAACTTGGGATAGATGAAATTAGTTAATAATACAATACTTTATATACTAAGTTATTTCGTTATATTCAAACCAAGAAATGCTACTAAAAACAACACTTGTCTATCAACTATTATAGAGACTATTACCAACTCAATTCGATACTGGCAGATCGGTCTTTAACAGCGATCTTCTATAAAAAGACAATGACAGTCCAAGGTAGACTTCACTTAATTCTTCTAAGTTTTATTTCTTAGACACTCGGCCGTTAAAAATATGGCTATCTTCATTTCATGTAAAGTTATTAAAGTTTTGGGAAACAACGATAAGACGTTTACTACGTGTTCAATGAGGTGTACCGCAGGTATTAGCTTCCGATCGTTTTGATGTATTTTCCTATGCACATAAAATATATAGTTAACATGCAATGCAGACCAGGCCGCGGACTCTTGGCCGTTACAAAACAGAGTCAATTGAAAATCATAACATGAAA